TAAAAAACTAGGGTTTGCTTCAAAGGAATGGGAACACTCTCTACTATAAGTATCGGTACATTTATACAACCTACAATATCATTTTCTACCTATAATATTATATAAAAGTATGGATATTTATTTTTTATGTAGAATGTCATTTTCTACCTGTAATCGGTCTCAAAAACTAGGGTTTGCTTCAAAGGAATGGGAACTCTCTACTATAGTATCGGTACATTATACAACCTACAATATCATTTTCTACCTATAATATTATATAAAAGTATGGATATTTATTTTTTATGTAGAATGTCATTTTCTACCTGTAATCGGTCTCAAATGCTTCTTTACTTCAAAAACCCCAAACCCATAAAAACCCCTATTTTCGATTACTGCAATACTAAAAAACTAGGGTTTCGATAACGTACTTTTCGATTCGACTGTAGCAACAAACAAACAACTACGCTTTCAAAAACGCCTTCCTTCTATTTCGCAGCAATTAATATGCTCCGATTTCGAAAACTACGGCCGTGTTCTATCTATTTTCAGAGGAAATGTAGATATGTCTTTGATATTTTAACTGGATATGTTATTTATATTTAATCGATACAATTACCCAATTCTCGATATTTTTGTGTAAGGTGTCGATACTTTCGATACGTTTTCATTTTTTTCTTTTAAAAGTATCGATAATATGATACATATACTTATAAAAGTAGTGATACCTTCAACATATTCGGTAGCGCTTTACCGGTTTTGTCGTATTAAAACTGGTTTTGTCAAATTTTAACATGTTATATTGTCATGTATCGATACATGTTTATAAAGTATCAATACTTTATAGGGGCTATTATTGTAATTCTTTTAAATTCCTAAAGTATCTATAATTTGGTGCATATACTTAGAAAAGTATCGATACAAATTTCAACAATTCTGGCATCTCTACCGGTTTTGTCAAATTGAAACTGATCTTGTCAAACTTCAACTTGTTATATTATTATGTATCAATACTTATGTGCAAGGTATCGATACCTACCGATAAGCTAAGTTTGTCGGTTGCAAAATTTTTAAATATTTTTTCATGATTTCCACCTAGAACATTATTATTACTCAACATTTCTGATAACGTTAAACTGAAAAAAAGAGGAAGGAATGCACTCTGCCATGCAGAGGAAATCCGTCCTTAGCAGACTGCTCCTTCAGGCCGTTTTGGGACCACTGTCAGGGGACACGGGTGGAAGCTTGACGGAGAAATCACGTGTTGTTGTCTATGGGATTGTTGATGCGGAAGCATCTGCGTCGTTGGGGCACTTTTGGTCCATGAAACAAATGATTGAGAAGATCGGTGGCTTCGAGTGAGTCACACACGCGACTTTGAGAGAAGACAGATTCATCTTTGTCGTAAGATCACAAATTCAGATCTAACGGCTACAACTTAGCGATGCAGATGACATTAGTGCATGAAACTAGGGATGGGCATGGGTCGGGTTTTTTGTCCACCCGACCCGACCCGACCCGAGAGCAAGAGAGCCTCCACCCGAGATCCGACCCAACCCGACCAAAACAAGTTTTCACCCAACCCGAATATATGACATAGAAACCCGACTCGACCCGAAATAATAAAAAAAAATTATTCAATAAAAACAGTGACTTAATTGAAAAAAATTATATATAGAGCGATATTATTGTAATTATCCCTAAATATATAGGGTAAAATTATATATTTTTTTGGGATCGGGTTGGGTCAAATTTTTTTCACCCTAAACCACAACTCGACCCGACCCGAACACCACATAAAAAAAACCCGACCCGACCTGACCCGAACCTGAATTGTTTTTAGAAAAATTCGACCTGATTGGATCAGGTCGGGTTTAAATGCCCATCCCTATATGAAACCCTAATTTTACTCTTGGTGTGAATCTGAACCGTTAATGGTTTAGGATATGATGGCTGGCAATCTTTCGCCGCCTAGAGACTTAAACTTCTAGGGTTTTCCTTGTTAACTTTCCATTTGGACCACTTCATGTATTGGGCTTTGTATCTGCTTGTAATGTTTTGATCTACAATTAGAAATTAAATGGAAATTAAATTTAATTAAATGTTTAATTAATATATGAATATTTATACTTATAATAATATATGTATTCTTACCTTATACTATCCATATTAACCACGTGCAAACAACACACATTACACACCTATATAATAGTGTGCATACACATGCTACACACCTATATAAATAAACACAAGAATACCACACATATATAAACACACCTATACATAAAAATAAGCACATATAATGTATATAAAAAAACATTAAATAACCCCCAAAACCCAGATGCTCAGATTAATTAAGAAAATAACTAAATATGAAAATAACTAAATATAAATTGAAAGAAACTTGATTATAGTCTCCAACAAAATGAGTATCTACAAATGATATTTTAAAAAGTTAATTAAATACAAAATAATTTTATTACAAAATAATAATAAAAGAGTTCTTATTAACTAATACAATAAATGATAAAATTTATTTATATTTTCTTAGTACTTGACAATGTCGAGGAGTGGTCAGATGATAATGGCGCAGGACTTGTCAAGTACATTGGGGTCGTCCACTTTGATCGTCTTCGTCTTCATCTTCGTTTGCTTCTTGAAGAGAAGATGTACTGAACATCACTTCACTTTGAGATCCACCTTCGAAATATGGTGATAGGCTTATGGTATTTGATGTCATCATTGTCATCATCGACTCGAGTTGTCTACCTTGTTAACCATATATAATATGATCTCATTCACTCTCACCCGCATGTTCGATCAAAGATGCTTGAGTACTTTACATTGCATCTCATGAACCTCCAACCCAATTTGGTTGACTTTCTGTTGAAGCATGATATGGAGGATAAAAACCAAAAATGGTCTGAGATGCAAAATAATTGGTAGAAGTAGAAGCAGAAGACGAAGATGTCGATGATGATTTCTTGGCCTTTGTGAATTTGGCCTTTCCTTGTTCTCATTCTTCTCTCCTTTGATGTCGTTAATTATGGTTTCTCACTTGCTTTATACTTTCGGAGGTAGGGAGAAATGTCAAAATCAAGGTCAGCGGATGTAATCTCGTAACATATAGGGACTGATAAATAAAGCTAATTCCATTACTCAATGTAGACAACATGCTTTCTCGGTCAATTATCTTTATGATTTCCATGCATATCAATTTTATGGAACGCGTCCATATCAAATATTTACGTAAGAATCAGTTGATGAGATGTAGATTATCGCAACATTTTATCTGCAACGTGCATCTCAACAATCACAAAATGTAGCAAAGGCGTAACGGCACCACAACTCCGAGCCTTCAAAAAATCCTGATGACAATAACCGATAGATCTCATCGTCATAATACGGTATCCAAGAAAACTACAAACATTAATTATAAAAGTTAGTATAAATAAAGGTAAAATTTTAAAAAATAAATAAAAATTAATATTTACCGTATGTCGACCGGCGATATTGATCCTCATTTGTATATATATTTTAGTTTCACCCGACAACTTGGTCTTGGTAATTTTATATTGACGTCTAAATAATATAAAAATAAAAATTACAAAAAAATACTAAAAGTAAATGTAAAAATCTACTAAAAATAATGTTAAAAAATTACTTTGCAACGATAGAAAACTCAACTAGGGTTGTTGTAATTGGTGTAAAAAACGGGAACTTATACCATACCCATGATTGTAGCAAGACTAGACAGTCCACTACATTGACTTTTTGACCCCGTTCGACTATGGTAGCCTTGTAGAGTTCCCGATATAAAAAGCTAAAATCCCATAGCCCCAACTAGTGTTGCGACACTTAGTAAAATTCTCCACCAAATTACCATATTTATTTGGTAACAATATTCCTCCAATCAATTGGAGTAGATACGCTCGAGCTATAAAAATAACCTCATCCTCGGTAAAGTTGTTTGTCACAATAAATTCGGACTCAAATTAAGTTATATGTATTTGGTACCGCTCTAAGACTTCTGATGGTGGCATCTCTCCCAAAACTTGGTGAACAATTCCAAACCGGTTAAAATCGTTGTGCGTCACTAGCGTCACACCGTTAACCGAAACACCGAGTAGATAAGCGACATCTTCCAACATAATTGTCGCTTCACCACTCGAAAGATGAAAATTATGCATCTCAGACCTCTAACGTTCAATCAAAACCGAAATCAACGTAGACTTCACCTTAAAACCACACAGAAATGTGACTGGATTGTTTTCGATATATAATAACCCGCTGATGTTGATCACTCAATGTCATTCCTCGTTGACGAATGCTGACATTTCATCTCGTGTAGACATTTTTCAAAAAAAATTAAAATATAAGAATTTCTCTTATTTTTTTCTTTAACAAAACACAATAAAAAAAGTAAAACCCCAAACCCAACAACAATAAACGATTAATTTTTTCAAAAGTCCCACCAAACTATTACCTCGAGATGACTAGTTCCATGTTGACCGTTAAAATCTAATCGTTGTAACTGTCCTTTACACAATTATTATAAACAATTAAATTTTTTAAAATTCGAGACAAACTCATCACCTCGACATGACAAATTTTACAGTTTTTTTATTTTTTATAAATATTTAATAAATTCAAAATAAAAATTTAATAAAATCATCACGTCGATGTGATAAATCTCACTAAATATATTAAAATATTAACCTATATGAGACCCACTATTTGAGACCATTAAAAAAATATTTTTCAAAAAACTCGACACTTCAACATGACGAGTTTCTCCGTGGCATTTGCCTAGATTGCAAAATAAATTCAGGCATGACCTATTAGGCTAACTAATTTACCAGCCTTTGGTACTGGGCCAAATACCAATATTTATGGATCTCCTATGAATTCAAGGCTATGTTTTATTACTCGCCCGAGTGACATGCATAAATGTGTACCCGAATGGGACTTTATATATATATATATATATATATATATATATATATATATATAACAGACGTTACAAGTTTATGCCCTATACTCAAACATGATCATTTTAAGTGCTCATCTAAAGCTTTGCAATGACATAGGGTGACAAGGTGAATTTGGTTCTAACTGGAAGCTTGAGATCTTCCCAATCTCCATTGTTCACCTTGGAGAAATATCCGTCAACTGTAGTATCAGTGACGAGCTCCAATTTCGACGGCTCCCACTAGCAAAAACAAAACGGAAGGTGGTCCAATCACCGGAACTTGATAATATTTATGGATTGAAGATTGAGAGAAGAGAATCCTAACCTTTGGGTTCTTATCTTTATCCAGCAGTATGGCCCTGCAACCCTGTTGTGTAGGCTTTTAATCAGTTGAAGAAATGGAGAGAAAAAAAAGCAAGTTAACATGCATAAATTTGAGACACTAGAAACCTCGAAAAAGTCTTTGCTGAATTCTCCACGCATGACCTGGCAAACCATTCTATATTCACGAACGAGGCACGGACCGACCCCTTCGAGTCTCCCGACTCTAATCTGATATAGTAAGAGTCAACTTATGCTGAAACAAACTCTTAATCAGAAAATCCAGGATCCACTATTCAGTAATATATAAGGAAATATATTACGTTTTATAAAAGAATGATTTGATAAACAAGGCTTCATTATCTTTTTGGTTTCAGCTATAAGAGGATAATATTCATATGCCGACATTGACGAGGGCTGTATAATTTTTATGGACAAAATCGTTAATGGAGAATTACAATATGATCTGTACTCAATACGAATACGTCAACTTACTGATCTAAGAGAAATTTTAAGACTGGTAGGTGAAGCCTTTTTCAGTGTTTGAATTGTAGCAGAGATCCAACCGTCCCTTTGATCAACAGCCTCCCTCTCCTGTGATAAGCATGTTCACAGGTTTTCAGTTTAGGTGGCATATACAAATTGCAGGAAACTTTGTAAACAGAAGCAAGAAACATTAAAAGAAAGCACCGGATTAGTGTTTCAGATAACAAATGAAATTGAACTATCGACTTACAAGAGCAGATAAAATTTCTTCAATTGTTTTTTGAGAGAAGCATCTATCAATGACAGCTAATCTGCAGCCATATAACCAATGATAATGAGGATTTAAAAAGTCTTGTCAGTCAGCAGTTAGCAAATTTGGATTTCAAAGAATACAAATTCTATATAATGTATTGGATCAGGGTGTTGAACTGCATTACAAAAATGCGCCTTCAGTTTACAGTTATAGGCTACCTCCTCTTTCATAAACAGAATTGAAATACAAGGGAAGATACTCAGTTTCTTATATTTATTATCAATCTCTCCCTCAATGGAAGCAGATATCAAACCAATTATGCAGCAAAAGGCATTGTTAATAGAAAACTAACCGATGGTACACACTCTGCTCTTTTAACGAAGGTTGCTCGAAATATTGACCAATAATTGATGAAATGGTTGCTGGATCACTGGAGTTTACAGCACATAATGCAGCTTCTAACATGGGTAATTTCTGTTGATTAAGTGAAAGATGTAAACATATAAAGTACAAAATTATTAAAAACAATCAAGTGAACTTTCTAAGGCATAAAGCAAGAGAGATTCACACTGCTTATTTTGGATATAAATTAAGCAGAGATTTTGAGGATTCAAAAAGAAGAGTAGGCATCAAAAACTTTCTTACAGCGGGAAAAACTATCTCGTACCAAAAGTAATCACAGTGCAACTTTCCCTCGGTTCACAAGGCACAAATAAGTAGGGAATGTATTTTCAGTTTCAGTTGCTTTAGAAAATGTGGACAGATGTTTTAGCTTCTCCAGACCAAGGAAAGATCTGGTTTGAGCCACAAAAGTAGCTTCATACAATAAAGAGTCCCATTTAGGACCCTTAAAGATGAATCTGGCTATTCTTAGAAAAATAGCTCTATACTATATAGAAGCACATGTTTATTAGGTGACAATAACTCTACACTTTAACTTTCAAATATTAATGTCTAAAGTTTAAAAAGAATAAGAAACATGCATGCTAACTTTAAAGCGAAAGGAAACACAAAGCTGATGCGTTACGTGTTTCCTCTATCATGTTTTCTCAACCAACCGATATAAGTCTACATTGTCTCAAATATATTTTGAAGTCAACGAAATTTTAAGTTGGGAAGCATACTGCTGAAGGTACAAAGTGAGTTGCTAGGCCACATGCAAGCATTTCTGCACCATCCAATCTGGCACCAGTAAGACCGAGATACTCTCCTGAAGTTGATGACGCTATGTGAAGCTAAACATAAAACAAATTCCAGTATACAAGTTTTTTGGGTAGCTAGAAGAAATGAATACAACTTGAATCAATTCTGTGAACCAAATTAAACCCGACAAAGCCCAAAGATAGCTATTGTAGCTATAGGAGAACCCAATTTACGGAGCCTTACTGCCTTTGCATTGTTTCTTGTAACTGTATAAGGCATTAGCCAAAATCCAGGATGCTACCGAAGAGATGAACTTTAGTATTAAAGGATTTACGCTTAGGAAATGAAATTTTAAAAATAAAAGTAATTAAAGGGCATGTATAATATATTCAAGAATATAAATGGGAGTACCGAAAAATCCTGGGAGTCTTGACAAGAAATAGGAGGCTCCTACATCTGGGAAGAGTCCCAAATCTGTTTCAGGCATTGCAAAAAGCTACGCAACATCCAATATATAAACATTTAGAAAGAGAAAACCAATCTGCTACACCTCGCATCTGATTCTGACAAATTAATAGAAAATGTAAAAAGTAGACAAGGTATAGGGAAGAGACATTGCCTTATTTTAGCTAACAATTCTAATACAGCCATTTTCTTCCAATTTATGCAAGGAACTTCTAAAGTATTTCAAAGGAGACAAAAGAGAATAATACCGAGTTCTCAGTAGCAATACGGAATCTACCATGCATTGAAGCACCATTCCCACCTCCCATAACGATTCCATTAAGAATTGAAACCTTCAGTGAGATTTGCATTTTCACAATTAGAAAAATCATATACATACATGATATAGGCAAAAGTCAGAATAGCCTTAAATGCTCTTTCATGAAATTTTACTTGGGATGTGTTCGTTTAACTGAAAAGGACTTATAGATCAGGCCATAAATAAAGGGGAAAAGAGACAAAAAGTAACATGGTCAAAGGAACAACCCTCTTCCTTCCCTCCTGTGACCTCAACAACTGATTTTTGTCTTCCTCTTCTCAATTACAACTTACTCTGTCTTCTTCTCCAGTACAACTTCCATGTTTCTACTTCTCCCTCAGGGCCCCACCCCACCCCTTTTCCATTAAAAGTCTAAGATAACAACCCTTTCTTCACTCTAATTTTGGTAAGTTACCAAATTTTTGTTTTGTTTTATACTCAAATTCAGGTTATATATATATCAATTGATTTCACCCTTTCTTCACTCCATGTTTGTTAAATTTCCGGATTTTGTATTCTTTTATGCTCAAATTAAGATTTCTTTATTGTTCATAACTTGTTTGAGGATTTATTATATGAATTCGAAGAATAGTTTTATGTATTGTTTTGTATGTATTTCACATGATTCAAGTGACTTCAAAGAATTTTTGTTGTTAATTTCTTTGATTATATGGTTATTTCTGATTCATAACTCAATGTTGTTTTCCATGCAAATGCTAAGAGTTTTCTCATGGCATGGGAAGATTTGAAGACCAATTCTGCAATATGGTCATTTGTTCCAGGGGTTGTTCTATGGACCATTTGGAAAGTCGGGAATGCCATTGTGTTCGAAGGAGGGAAGTTAGACCATACTGAATTATTTTTCTTAGCAAGGTTTAGGCTTGCTTCTTGGTTCTTAGCCAAATACAAAGAGATTTCTATTCCTAAGGATTCTCTTATATCTGATCCTTCTCTTGGGGATTCTTGTTCAGTACTCAAATCGATTGTATCTAAGATTCCTTGGTCTCCTCCTCCTAAGGGCTTCATTAAATTGAATGTAGATGCTGCTACTAGCTTTGACTGGAAGAGGAGTGGTTTAGGTGGCGTTCTAAGAAACGATAATGGCTCGATTTTAGGTTCTTTCAAAGAGTCTTCTGGTCCAGGTCCTCCTATCTTGATGGAGCTTAAAGCTATTCAAAAGGGTTTACTTTTCTTGGTCTCTTTTCGAGGGCTTGTTAAGGACCGTTTGATTATTGAGAGTGATAGTAAGGTGGCAGTGGACTGGATCAAGAATGTTGAACTGTCCAGATGTGTATTCTTTTATTGTAAAAGACATCGTTGATAGGCTCAAAGATTGTGAGGGTGTGGTTAGATGGGTTGCTAGGACAGCTAACTCAAAGGCTGATGCCTTAGCTAAGGCTAGAATAGGCTGATTTCAGTGTTGATGTTAATGGCTGATTTTTGGGTTTTAGGTTTTTATGTAAGGGAACCTTCTGGGTGTTGTAATTGTTATGTATCTTATCTTGTTATTAATAAAATTCTAAGGCACTCTTTTCCTCCTTCCGCTGATTAAGGAGCTTCTCTACAAGCTCCATTAATCATGAAGGGGATTTTTAACGAGGCCTATAACTTTTATCAAAATAAATAAATAAATTCAATTCTTCTAATTATTTAGATGGTGTGAAAAAGTTACTGAGGTGTAAATTAGCCATTGATAAAGAGTCTCGAAGATATTTTCCATCTAGTAAGGCAAATTGTTTCTTACAATGTATCCAAACAACAACAACAAAAAAATAGCATTTAAGAGAAATGCTTCGAGGAAAAAGCTATGTTTCCTGGAAAAACATTTTTTTGAAACAAATGGAGCCGTAAAGCCATTTCAGTTACCTGCGGTTTGCTATAGGTTGCCATCAAATAGTTTAAAGTGTATTCTTTCATAAAAAAATTGGCACCTGTTCTCCATCCACCTAAAGCATATAAATGCATAACAAAAGGTCATTGACTTTAGATTCCTCCAACAAACAAGAAGGAATAAGAAGACACATTTGGCTCTTCAAATGTGGTAGTAGGTCCACTGTTCTAGCAAAAGAGCAATCATAAATGGTAGCAAACATGAAGTAGACAAAGAGGAAACACAGGTGACAATAAACTAATAATGTAACTTATCAACCTTTTAGATCTAAATGATCAGTACAATCTGGTATCCACAAGAAATAATGAATCCATACCTGCTCTAATATCATGTACCACAGCTGCAACATCTCCACCAGCACAAAATGCTCTTCCTTTCCCCTAATGACAAATAGCCAGCTATCAGGTATATTCTCTTCAATGCTGAAACGTTTGCTTGCAAAACCAATGAAGGAACCTAGTCTTACCAAAGGGTTGAGTCAAAAACGATGAATTTTGTACCTAGAGATTCTTCCAATATCAATATAAAAAGCTTACTTATCTAAAAAAAATTAATTAAGTCTTTCAGCACAGCCATTACGGAACACCGATGGTCAAAACTGAGCAGACACTGCCTCTCTAAAGTTTATTTACTCTGCCAATTAAGTGGCAAAGATGAGACGTAAATTCCTATCTGACCTTCACCTAAGAACCATATATGATTAATGATGCTAATATGTAAAGCCCAATTATACTTCCAAAAGGAATGCTGACAGAGATTAGAAATTAAACAGTCATGATTGTCGACTATCTACGGCCAAGCTGATGTGCTGCAATAGTTAACCAAAAATACATATAGCCTTTCCATTGGGCATTCTACGAATATGCAAGTAAAACTGCCAAACCTAAAATGTGCTGTCAAACAATCTGATTGAGTGACTTGATATGAGATAAGAGCAGATGCCAGGCAAGCTTGTAATGCAACACCAAAAAATGTCATCAGACTCAAATGTCTTACGATTTCATGTTACTTTTCTTTTTGTCAAATTTTTTCTTTTCATAAAGTGAACAAAACGAATACTAAAGTTGTATCTGCAGAGGTGTGTACCTTCAGTATAACCAGCTTGACATTAGGATCCTCCTCATAGGCAAGAAAAAGTTCTAATAACCGAGAAACCTACCATTGAAAGAGAAAACATTATTACTATTTCATGTTTCAAACAATTAATGTGACTAGAAGGCCGTTGACAAACAATTTATGAAAGTCATGCAGAAAATATAGAAATAGAGAAGAAAAGCATGATTACAAAGTCCACGGTACAAATACTGAATACAACAGTTTATTGGAAAGAGAAATTTGATAGGTTATTTTAGTTGATGATTGACATAGAAGACATGCAAAAGAAACCAAGTGAACTAGAAGTTACACAAATAACTAGAAAAAGAAAATGTTTGATCCAATGTTCTTCAGGCATGCACCTAGGCACGCCTAGGCATTAAGAATTAGCACTAGACAACAATAGCATTTCATAACCTTTTGGGAAAGACACGTTTAATCAAGCTACACCTGATGTGCCTAGGCACACTTTTACAATGAGCCGGCAGGCTCAAAAACAATTGACCTTGATATCCTTTCAAGGTTTGCGAAACAAATCATGCATATTGGCCAATAAAAGGAAAACAAAATTGAATTCTTTGGTAGGATAAGATGGCAATTCCTTGTAATTTATATCATAATTATATATTCTATGATTAATATATAATGCACTATTAGTAGAGTATATCATAAGATGCTGCCACATTAATAAGTAGAAATAAAATTTCAAAACTCCTCGAAACATAAATATAAAAAACTTAAAAATTTTAATAGTATACACGGATAGGCAAGGAAAATTACAAAACAAAGAATTTCATCCTTAATCACATTGTATGGAAAATACTGAAAGAGTTGAAGCACCCTATTAAAGAACACATCATACCATCTGAAATGAAAGGGCATTGAGCTGCTTAGGCCGGTTTAAGGTTAGAATTCTTGCAGATGAATTTACGTCTACTAGAACCTGCAGAGGTAATGAAGAAACATAAATGAACCTCCCAAATACACCAAATTTAGTTAATCTAAGAAGCAGGTAGAAAAGTTGGGAACTCATTGTCGGATAAACAGTTTTGAAATATATAGGAAAATCGGCATGGATTGAATTCAATTAAAAAAAAGGAGTTTGAATTGAATTTAAGCTCAACGGAGAAGCAAAGAGAGTGTGAGAGGATATGGAATGTTATATGGGTTGTCGAGATTTCAAATCAAGTATTTTGAATGAAGAAAACCCAAAATTCCAGAAACAAGAAGAAGATAATTAGAGCATCGTAAATGAAGACGCGCCTGATCATGTTGGGATGAAGCCATATGTATCGATTAGCAGTTGAAAGCACAACCCCGATTCCCAGAACGACAATCTATAAGCAAGCTGAGGCGCAGTTTTAAGCAAATAGTAATTAGGTTGACATTAACATGGAAGTCGTAGCTAAATCATTAAAATAATACCTAAATGATTTTTTACTAAAATAACATTAAAAAATCTTTAATTTCTAAACTGGCATCTATTTCTATGGTATATAAAAAGGTATGCCTGTATGCCATATGGCACAAGTGTTTTTATTTACGTGGCGTAAGTGTTTCTATATGATCCTTTATCAAATCGCTGAAATCTGACATTCTTCGCTCTTGTTTTAACCATTAGGGTTGTCTTTGGGCCTGAGCACAAGCCTAGAATTTTTATAATGTATTATATTTATAAAATATATAAGTTATAGGGTCTAAATAATTTTAATATTTGTTATCGAGAATTCAAATTTTTCCTAATATTTATTATTATGGATTTAATTTTTTTCTAATACTTATTATTAAGGGTTTACTCTTATAATTTATTTTTCTAATATTTGTTTAAGTGTCGAAATTAACATAACGTGTGATATTTAAAGGTTAAAGTGCATTAATGGTGTTTGAACTATATCAAAATGAATTTTTTATTATTAAACTTTTGGATATGATAAAATTAATATTTTAATTTGATTTTAAAATGATTATTATATTTTTTTAATCGCCTTAGACTTTTGTTAATGAGATCAAAGACGAATGCATGATTTCATGTTATGATGGATAAACTTACAAAACTTGAAAGAGAAAAGAATTTATAAAATTTTAGGGGGCAAAATCAGATTTTCAATCGAAAATATAAAAAACAAAATCTAATATATATAGGAATTTAAAATTTTTAGGGAGAGGATCATCCTCACCCGTCTCTAGTCCATCTATAAATGAGATAATATTGTATAAAATTTAGGGGCAAAATCAGATTTTCAATCGAAAATATAAAAAACAAAATCTAATATATATAGGAATTTAAAATTTTTAGGGAGAGGATCATCCTCACCCGTCTCTAGTCCATCTATAAATGAGATAATATTGTACATTAAATCACTGATTATTTAGATTACTCAACAAGTTACTTAGATCTAAATAGACATATTTTGTTGAATAGTCTATCTAAATAAACATGTTAGTTCTGATTTAAATTGAAAATTTGAATAGATTAATTTAAACTAAAATCTAATCTAAGTTTAAATATACAGAAGTTAACAGTTTAAATCCAATCAACCTAAATAGGTTCAAACTTGAAATTTACTCAAATTAAAACTATATAAACCTAAGACAATCTAAATTCAAAATAACACGAACGAGTAATTTTTAAGGGTAAACTACGTATTCAGTATTTAAATTATCAGTTTTTGTTCATTTTAATATCTAAATTTTTAATTTTTTTAAAATCATAACTAATGTTTAGTTTTGGTTTTATTTTAGTATCCACACTTAAAAAGGTAACACATTAATACCTAAACTATCAGTTTTGGTCTATTTTACCACATAAACTTTTAATTTGTTTCAAAAACAACGTTAAATTTTTAAAGGGATACCAAAATGAAATAAAAACTAAATTTTATGTATGGTTTGGAAAAAATTAAAAGTTTATGTACTAAATGGATCAAAATTAATAGTTTAAGTACTACCTGTGTAGTTACCCTTTTTAAAAAATTAAACAATTATTCATAAAAGGCTTAATACAAAAATAATTGATCAAACTATGTATCGAAAAACGTTTTAGTGCCTAATGAATTTTTCACTAAAAATAGATGTTTAAAGTTTTATCCATTACCATTTTAGGTGCTCAAACGATAACTACCTTTAAAAAACTCCGCTAAGTAACACGTGTTACGTTCTGATAATTTTGAGAATTATTATTTAAAATAAAAAATATATGTTTTAAAAAAATAATAATTTTTTTCAAATCTTAAAAAAACTCAAAACTTTTAAAACTTTAATTTTAATCTTTTTGCCACCGTCGATCACCACAGATGTCTTCGATCGATCGAATAACCAATGAGGTGTAACCAGCCAACCACATGCGACCAAACCCCGCATACTTTCACAACCGATCGAACACCAAATCCCCGTAAATCTAAAATTCTTAAATATAAATCCTTAAATATAATACCCAAATCCTTAACCATAATTCCAAATTTATTATTAAATTTAACCCAAATTTATTATTAAATTTTGAATTGCGCAGGGGAGAGAGATGCGAAGGGCAGGGGAAATGCGGGGTTGGAATTGCGCAGAGAAGGTTTTTCTAATTAAAAAAATATTTTTAAAAGATAAGATTCACAAAATTACCAGAATATGATACATAAATAAACTAAATTATTTTATTCTGCACGAGTTATTCAGTTTTATTTTATTTATATATTTTTGTTTCTTTTTGGTATTTAAGGTACACATGGCAGCACGAGGTTAAAGCTCATGCATGAGATGAAAAAAAACCCTATTCTAATTGGTTTTGGCAGCAATTATGGAGAGGAAAAAGATATATTTCCCTTACTTTACGTCAAATCAACAATCTTCTCATTAATATCATATATTTTCCCCTTTCCATTTTTATCATTTTACCCCCAATAAAACACCCATTACATTCCCTAAAAAACCACACGCCCCTCTTTCTTCCTCATTGTTTCCTTGTTTTCTTTTCCTTCAACCTTTTTCTCTTCACTCTTTCCTCCAAACTACAGCCACGATACACCCTGTAACAGCAAAAAACATGGCCAGATTCAAGAAAAATCTAGTCACGTCCTCAGGATTTGAGCGTTTCCAAACTGCCGAAGCCGAAGCAAGGTTAAAAAACCTACAAAAAAGGCAAGTCTATTTGGATGACGACTTTATTTTTCCAGCAGAGGGTGACGAACCCTTCAGACCAGAGGTAATGAACGTAGTAAGGAAACATCAGTGGGAGAAGTTTTCCAGGCATCCTAAGGCGGTGGTGCCGACGATGGTCCGCGAATTTTATGCCCATTTAGGAGACCCATCTCAACATAATGTCTATGTGAGAGGGAAATCCATCCGGTTCTCTCCATCATCCCTCAACCGTTATTTTAAGCTCGGTAAGGTGGAGGATCAACACAAAAAATTCTTTTTCAGGAAGATCAAGAAACATACGATGGAGTCCTTGAGGAGTTGTGTTTCGGATGTGCTAAGTTTGAAGGAAGTGCGCCAACGTGTAAGCGGGTAGATCGCCGAGCCCTTAAGCCAGCTGTAAAGCTATAGAATCAGTTCTTGAACGGCAAGATGATGACGGCCTTCCATAACACAAAAATATTGGTGAGGAGGTTGATGTTGTTGCACTCGATTATTTATGGGTGAGAAATCGATGTTGGGGAGATCATCTTCGAGCATATTCATGACTGTGTGAAAAGGAACCGAGGTAACCTTCTTTTTCCTAACTTGATAACTTCTCTCTTTGTAGGAAGATAAATGTCCTCGAGGATTCGTTTGAGGACTTCATTAAGCCAAAGGAAGGGATCACCAAAAAGAAGGTGCCAGAACTCATGAGCTTCGATGATGATGATCCACATGAAGGCCTGGAGAGAAGAGCGAAATCAATTGTCACGGCAAGAATGGAAGTTGTGGTCACATCTACCAGAGAGACGCGCGAGAGAATCAAGCGTCTAGAAAGTCACATGCAGACTTTCTTCGGCTATGTCAAGGCAAGGGATGCACAGCTAAATGCCTTCTTCAAGGAGTTGTTCCTGATTACCAATGAGGACATGCCACCCTTTCCTAATGAAATTTTGAAACACACAACAAGCGGCAGTACATTTCATGCCTCAGCGCAAAACGTCCCCCTGAGTTACCCGTAAATGTCCCTCCACATGCCACGCATGTCTGGCCTCTACATGACGAAGGCCACAGCGAGATAGATGAATATATGAGCTCCTCATTCTCTTCATGCGAACACACCCAAGAAATTTCTTCTGAATTTTTTGAAGATGATGATTTTATTCCAGTCCCTGATCAACCCACCACCGAACAAGCATCTGAACAGTCCCCGGATCGCCATACTACACCAGTTCCTGACCCTAAAGAAAGGCAGTCTCAAGCAACACCTATAAATCCCACCCACAATAAAGAAAGACCAGAATCAGCTAATGCCCTAAGCACGGGGCGGCGTATTAAGTGAACAGCTAGCCGTGTCCTTCAGCCATCTCTCTTTCTGATTCTATCGGGAGATACTGGATCCGAGAGCCGCCTCCTTCAAAGAAACACAGAACACGCGTGTTAAGCCAAGCCTCCCCACCACAGTAAGGTAATTTTTTTCCTTTGCACTTGCATTTAGATTAATTTAGTTTTTTTTTTCATGCATTGAGAACAATGCATCCCTCAAGTTTGGGGGAGGTGTTGTGTCTCACACTTAATTAATAGCAGTTGATGATAATTAGATAAATATTTTGGTTGTCATGGCATGAGTATGTTTAGACTATTGTTTGGAATAAATTAAGGATGCCCAATGATGAAAGTTTTTATTGTCTAAGCCAGAATTATTTTACATGACTGTCGAAGGATAGAACTGACCTTAGCCTTGATTCTTTGTGAACTTGTAAACACGATTGTATGCTTTCTCTGCTTAAGGTGCTTAGTAAATTTTGATGAAAGAACTTTTTGCATGTCGTGACATTGAAGAATTGTAAAGTTTAAGTTAAACTTCTTAGTGTTTAAATTTTGTTGAATTAAAGGGACACTCCTCTGTGTAATGGCATGACCAGAAAACTCATTAAAAATAAATAGTTGCCTAGGCATATGAGTGAATGAAACTAGTCACATGATGACTCTACCTGACTAGCTTGGGGTGGAAGGTATGCTCCCTTTCACTTAGAGTGTAGAAGGGTAGGTGTGATGAGCTGACTCCCAAAAAAATTAGTTGAATAAATAGATGTGGAAACTATACTTGACTAATAATTTGATGCCTTGGAAAAGTATAAGTACTTACTTGAATTTTTTTAAATACGTTAACGCATAGAATAAGTACAATCACACACACACACTAGCAAAAAATCCTGACTTAGGAAGTCACTTGACTTATATGATAATC